CTACATCTGCTTAATGGTACTACCATTCGTGTCCAATGTGGCTTGCATTCGTGGTGAGACGCGATAGACAACTGACACAATTGACACAAACAACTGAACGAAGTTGTCCAACGTTCAACAAGGATGCCGGATGGCATCTTTCAAGTCACTTGAGGTAGCAGGCGCTGCACGATACACAACCGATTTGCGATATCCCTACAACCAGAAATCTAGTGGAGTCGGATCTGAATATCGTGGCGACCATGCTTCATGGAAATGTCAGCTAATTATGCGATCACCAAAATAAGCAGCAGTTAGCAGTGTTTTCATAGTCCGTGTAATGGGGGGGGGGGGGGGGGGTGCACCATCTTGCATGAAGGCTATCTCATTCAAAACGCCACGTTGCATAGGTGTAGAAATTACGTCATATTCCGACATGGACCGATATCACTCACTGTTCACTGTTACTGTTCGAAATCCAGTGTCCATTGGTTCTTCAAACAAGTGCGGTCCGATGATGAATGATGATGGCCAGTGAATCCACACCAAACTGTCACAATAACGACTTTCGATGGATGCTCAGCACGAACACGTGAATTGGTGTCTGCTCAGATAACGCAGTTTCGAGAGTTGGCTTGACCATGAAGTGAGAAGTGGGCCTCATCCGTACACAAATTGTTGTCTAACCAAGTGTCAACAGACACTGGCTAGAGATTGTAGCGCTAAGACTAACCGTGATTGTGGGTCCCCAGGTTCCAGTCGTTTAACAAGCTCCATACTAGACGACCAGCCAAAGGCTCGAAAAGCGCTTAGAAATCATGGACGGTGACATGGAGTGTTACAAGCAGGCATCCATGCTGGGTCGAATACATGGGCGTTGGGCTATACGCCTGGGTGGATGCCAAGTTCAACTCGACCCCGTTCGTGAGATACGAGGTCAGAAAGGTCCAAATGATAGGTATTTTGAATCCCACCTTAGACAGAGAAGTTATTAACTGTTTTCAATGAAATTTTCCCTAAATATTTCTGAGATGTCGAGGTGTATTTTAAGCCTGGGATATGACCTCTGAGTACCATCATTCGAGGTCATATTATATAAAAATACCGAAAAAGGTTCGACAAGAAACCTATGGACCGATCTTGCTGATTTTTTAACTGGATAGCCCTGAGATATGGAGGTACATTTTCGTCTAGGTTTTTTACCTCTGATGAGGCCCATTCGGGGTCAAATGTTGAAATTAGCTGGTAAATATCAAAATCACGCAGATGTAGTGGTGAGTACCGGCGTTTCCATTCTGTTTATATCCTTGAAACTGCATCAGAAATTTCCCAGCAGGAACATCTTATCCAAAAATTTTCGAGAACCTAGGTCACTGGATAAGGTGGGTATGAGGTCAAAGGTCACAAAAAGACCTTCGGTGCCCAATAGTGCATGAGTTACAGGCGCTGCCTAATGTTTCATGAATTACTGCTCCTATAAATGGCGACGTTAGTACATGTACAGGTGCCGCCCTTTACTGGGGAACATATCTGCCGATGCTCGGTTCAAGTTTCGGAAAGAAAAAGGAAAACAGAAGCAGAGATTTTCCGACTGAGTGTTAGGAGTCTTCTTTTTTTGCCCTTGTCTTTTATATGGGTGTCTTTTCCACCACTATATGGTGACAAACAGGCGAGTTGGTGTAGGCTTCATGGAAACGCTCGCAATGGTCACATCTACGGAGCTCCAGGAAAAAACAATAATAAATAATAGCAAATGCAAAATTCATCTGAAACATGGGTATTCGCCGATCGCGTGATCTCAAGTGATATAAAACTCGCTGGATTTAAGGCATTTTCATTATAAGCAGATCGCTCGAGTTTTTTTATAGCATAATTTTGTCCTCATTAATTTTTAGCTGCAGCAGAATGTTTCCCATAAGTTCTCTTCCAGGGAAGCAAATGAAACAGGACGTTATGTGCGTATCTGAAAAGTATACAGATGGTTTCACAATTTGACACTTGGCAAAAGAGACATCCTGGAGGTTCCTCAGTGTCAGAAACTCATTTCGCTGACAGGCTGCACATCAAAACGATGGTTGTTTACCAAAGGTTTTCTGAGAACAGTAACAGTAAACAGTGACGGATATTGGTCCATGTCGGAACGTGACGTAATTTCTGCACCTATGCAACATGGCGTATTGAATGAGATAACCTTCATGCAAGATGGTGCACCCCTCCCCTATTACACGGACTGTGAAAACACTGCTGACTGCTGCTTATTTTGGTGATCGCATAATTAGCTGACATTTCCATGAAGCATGGCCGCCACGATCTTCAGATCCGACTCCACTAAATTTCTCTTCGACTCCATTATTAAATATCGCAAAGCCTCGCTACTGCATGATCCTTCACGAAGGCTTGTCTCACGTCGATAACACCGTAATGCTTCACCAGCATTATGTTATTGCTGTAATAATGGCACACGAGGGCAATCCTTGCATGTAATGAGAACTTGTTACGGACATCTTTAGCGATAGGAAATGAGTGCTGACAAGTGTGTTGGGGGTTTGTAGCAACAGACTATTAACAGACTAAAAGGTGTTCCGAAAGATTCTGACCCACCCAAACGAAATGTACGTCACTGCTATAGCCGTCCATGGGCTACGATTATCAAGACGATCTGCTCAGACCAAGAAAGGCCGTTCTAATGCAGGACGGAGGCCAATGACCCAAAGCGGGATTCACGTTCGGCGCCATTGAAGAGACTGGAGAATCTGGAAGAAGTCGACCAAAGACCTTCTTTATAAATTACTAGCGACTGCAGTCGCAAGTAGATTTCCAAGCGGAGTGAGGAACCACCGTGAAGAGGTTTCCCTTCAATCCGTCGATCCGTAGAAAGCTTTCGGACGCGAATCCAAGGTTCCTGGATGCCGGCGGAATTCATCACAAGTATTGAAGCAGGAGTTGCTTCCTGGGGTATTCCAGGCAATTTGGAAATCAAACACAGTAGAAACTAGATAGTTTCCAGAGCACACATGAATGGAGTGAATTCATTTCGCAAAAATGCGATGCCAACTGTCACAGGGATACGAAGGAATGGACCCAAGAAAATGTAGAGGAAAAACGATAAGTGGAGGGTTCGCACGCTTCGCTGGCTTTGGGCAGGCCAGCGAAAAACGGTTGGTGCTTGTGGTGGAAAAGCAGAAACCGGAGACTAATCCTACATCCAGTTCGGCTCCGGAAAGTTCAACTTCTGTTTTGTACTTGATTGTATACATTATTTGCACAACTACGTCAAAGTTTCGACTAGGAACGAAGGCAGTATGCAGAGACATCGTTCCTCCCCATTTTTTCATCCTATTACTCTGTCAAAAAGCATTTCCTTGTGAAAAATTGGTGCTACTCAATTACTGCTGCAGATTTCTTGGAGCGCTGTTAAGTAGACCTGAATACTTTCAAGCGCATTAAGTCATCCTACTTTCCTAACTGGACAAAGGATTCAAAGGCAGTGCTCAGAACTGCTGGAAAGTGTAAAAGGAAGGAACAAACGTCCCCACCAAATGACTTTCACCACCGCTTCTTTAATTTTCAGGCAATGGTACTTCCCAGAGACGATAATGAGAGTACTTTTCCCATGAGTCAATGCAGGAATTATCTATCTGAAGGGCGTCAATGAGTTCACAAAGCATAATTAAAACACATGCCATTATAATATTCATTCCTTTATACAGCTCAGACCGCATACGTCAATGAACATAGATAGAGATATGATCACAGCAATGGAAGCGTACAATACGTATGCTAACATCATGGCAACAGCCATAACTTCATTGGTTCAATGAAATTCGCCCCTCTGGTATTCATTTGTCCTGCCTATCGAGTTTCAGCAACCGATTCAGAAGATATGTGAAAAATATTTATTATGCCCGTCGAGGTAGGAAGTATCAACAGATTGCCAAAGCATCTTCATCCGAATATCTTATTTCTGTTTAAATTGCGGTATGGATGCCGTATGGATACGGTATGATCGATTCCATGTCGAGTTCTCCCATTTTTTTAAATAATAGTATCACATGGTGACTTTGTGTAGCCGCAATGGGTAACCCCGCAGATCGACCGGTCTCGGAGGGCTTAGTAGGGACGAAATCCTCTCCTTCGATATTCTCGAACGGTGATGGCTCCCACTACTACGACGGTGAGGAGTCCGACGCCGACGGCCGTCCACGACCCGATCGCCAGCACTTCTTGAGGCAGAATGATTCGATTGTGGAATTCGTCGGCCAGCTCCTTGGTCAGGGCTGCACTCTGAAATCAATCCAGATGAGGGACCCAACAATATGGCATGTCATTTGATTTCCACTCAAGGATCTAGTAAATTCGAGAGTATAAGGAATTCGGGGCGAATTGTGGAATGAGATTATTCCAGATACCATAACGAAATGTCGAAGTCGTCAGTATCGCAATATTGTTAGTTACTATCGGTTATCAGTTACTGTCAGATACTATCAGAAAAAGAGCTTTGGTAGGTGTCTAATATAATTTTTTTTAAAACCATATATTCGCCTCGTATTCACTCCATGTAAATCTATCAGACTCTGAAATGATGGAAACAGAGATGAGTACCTCATTTACCCAAAATATTGGGAAAATCATATGCGAGACATTCGCGAAGCTCAAATATTTCTCGGATGGCTTCAAGTTGAAGTTCACTTGAAATTTTTTGCCACCGTTCAGGGGCAACCCGGTCAACTATGGGAGGAAAGAGAAAATTAAGTGAGAGCATTTGTAAAAAAAAATTTTTTCGAATAATGAAATGCAATGAAAGAGAAAGACAGAGACGGAAGACCAAAATTTTATTGTGCAGTGCTGAATAAGAATCGGCTGGTATCGCTCCCTTAAAACCGTGGAAGAAGACTCCGGAGCATAAAAGCCGCCTGGTAAGTACTACCGCTTCGCAACAGCAATGCTGTGGCATCGTTGATGGTAAGTTGACGTTTTTAGATGTGTTTTAAGTTGATGTTACGAAAGGAATTCAGTTCAGTTGAGTTGAAGAACGGGCTCCATGTGTGTCAAATGCAACGCCAGCGATCTCCATCTGAATTTGCAGCTTTAACACCCCCTGAATCATATCTGAAGTCAGTGATCTTCAATAACCACAGTTATCTTCAGGGAGTCTTTATTTGTACATTTCTAACTATTTTTGACCTGAAGCAAAATATGATATGACTATATGCGGTCAAAATTTAGCAAGCTTTAGCGAAAGAAATTAGATTTCAAATCATGATTTATATTTTACTCATGCGCGCACCTACAGAAACTTATAAGCTTCTATAGATGCGTGCATTATCTTTTCTCAGTATCAAAAAAATCCCAGAAAACTTCGAAAACCATCCCTGGGAGTTGAGCATTTTTCCCCCAACCATAACTGGGACACTGTACCTCTTCGAATCACCCTCCCGCATAATGCAAATTCTGATTGATTCTATTGACAAGAACCCAACACATTTACCAAATAATGAAAAAAGTATTTAAAAAAAAACTGTTATAAAAGATTATACGCTTCTTCCGAAACATCATTAAGCACGAGGGCTTAGTGTGGACGCCCACGACTTCTTTCTGATGGATGACCAAAGGTTTCCTTTGAATTTCTATCCCAGTTGTCATCTACAAGAAACAAACTTGCCCTGTACGCTGACTAGCTCCACTATGACCTACTCGTAATTCATCGCTTTTTCAGCTCTTCCAGACTCAATCGTGGATTCGTGAAGTAGATTGGAGGATAATAAATGCTTTTTACGTTTTTCTTCATCATATCAATAGGTTCAATGATATTCCAAGATGGAGCAGCTGAAACTATCTAAGGAAGCAATAAGTCAAGATTGAGTAGATGCTGCATCATCAATCGACAAGGTAAGAGTGGGCACTGGTGACGAAAGTGTATAGGTTGAAACAAATTCAAGGACACCCAGGCTTCATGGGAGCCGGATCTTAGCACCAAGTCTTTTTCCCCCGAGGTGCCACGCACCGGATTACATAAGGGCATCTCCAACTGATGTTGGATTTCTATTTCTATTACTTTTTTGCCGTCATGAGACCCTTAATGAAGAGTTTTTTGCAGGTGTGTTAGAAGTATAAATAGGCCTTAATAGAATAGAAATAGTCCTTTACTATTTCTACTCTTAATAAAGCACGATACATTTTTCTTTTCCAATTGTTGTTGCTGTCAGAAGACGGATTGAGACATGCTTCTGATTCCGTGTTCCCAATTCTCGAAAGAGGCAACAAGCCACAGACGAGTTCGACAAGGATGGACACGGAGTGTGCTACGAAAGAGAAAATTCTGTAGACTTAGGTAGAAAAGCCATGAAGTTGAAGTGCAAGTTGGAAATTTATTATATTTGAAAGTGTACATTCTTTTCGGACTTATTTGTTCATTTGGAGCAAAATGAACATGCAGCTACCTACAAAAAATTCGCTTTTTAAACATTTCCACTGATTTTGGCTCTTTTTTTTCTTAGGAGCTCCATCGGTTCCACTCTATTTTCTTTCACAAGCTGATGAATGATGGCTGAGCACTGAGACGAAAGTGATCAAAATGTCGTACTCTTATCATAACGAGAGAATATAAATTGTTTCATGTATAGACGTGCATGAGTGTCCCCACTAGAGTGCTAAAACTTCTCTGGACACATTGCAGCAAGGACCTCCCGCAAGATCGCAAGATCAACAAAGGGCTCCTTAAGAAAATACATAAAACGGGAAGCGTGAAAGATCGCCGAATTCTACTGGTGTGCTCTTCAATGTCCTTGAACGTATTTTTTTTTAAGTACTTCAGATGAAACCACAGGAAAAATTCAAGGGTGTAATTCAGGGGTGTGTTAATGCTGAGAAGGAACTTGCATTCTCCCAGAAAGAGGGCGATCCAGCACACCTCCCATTTCGTGGAACTTCTCCTGCTTCTGACAACAAGAAGAAACCGCCAGAGAGACCGACACTGTGTTGTGTTCGCACATGAATTGCACTCATGCACACACATCCACGAAAAAAAAACATTAATTTAAGCCACTATCATCTAGTCTTCAGCCATCAATCACCCACAAATGGAAGAAAAGAGAGTGGAATCATTGGAGATCCTGGCAGAAAAATTGGGCAAAATCACTGAAAAAGTAAAGCATCATTTTTAATCAAAGATGTAACGTTAATTCTGCTGAAAGTGAACAAGCGAGCTCGAAAAAGCCTCCAGCTTTCTACCATTACTGTGCAAAGTTCACTGTTTCTGTAGTTAGGCATCCAGAATTGTTTTTAAATTTTTGGTAACAAACTTTGCGCCCACTCTGTATAAGTTTGGATATTCGACTGGGGACTCGAGGGCAGGTCCTCACCGGCTCGATGTCGATGAAGCACTGGTGCCACTCTTCCATCGGCTCCAATCCTTCCAAGACGGATTTATTGTAATATTCCTCTGCTCCTAAGTAGAAGTGCGGCAGGGATGCCACCAGGGAGACACCTATAGTGAAAACGGGGTCGGTTAGGTTTGTCTGCACGGACTCCGTCATTAGACTTTCTCTCTCCCCCTCTCATTATTTTTTAAACAATCTCGGCGCTTTTACACAAAAAAAAAGTTTGCCTGAGGATGCCAACTATACTCTATAAATCGTTCCCTTCAGTGTACCAGACTTCAAGGAAAGATTGATCCTTCCTCGTCATATCATGCAAAAATGTTGGTTATACCAGGATTGCTTAGGGAAATAAGAAATTTCCAAAGAAGCCAAGGAGGAAATTTTCTAATGCCGAGCTTCCTATCTCGGGCAGCATCTTATTTTCACTGTGTGGACTTACCGGTACATGAGGTGAGGTCCAATACCCCTGCTTTCAGGCATTCACCATTTACACAAAAGCACTGATTTTCCGGATAAACATCCGGGTCTCCGAGAATATCAGGACCGACAACGAATCGAAGCCCCGGTATCCCTCGAAATTCCACCTTCTTCTCGTAAGTTAAGTGCGCCGACCTGAGCAATTACAGATATTCAGAGCAAATGCCTTCATTTCAGAGCATACACGGTGGACAATCGAAGAACTCACCTGCACATTTCCCAGATGAAGGCATACAGAACGGAATTCTCGTCGACGAACGGACGATAGATCATGCCGTCGGTGCCATTGATCATGTTGCACTCGTCTGACCCCCACGGTTGCTTCTCGTGATATGGAAGCCCTCGCCAGAGCTTGATGTCACCGAAGTCTTCTGGCCCGTTTCTGCCGGTCCCGACTAAGTAAATGCCGTCGTTGGTATTGTTGAACTGCATAATGGAAGCATCAGGTCATTCGAAATCGTTTGTGTGCGCTGTAAAAAATAATTCCGACTAAAGCATCGGAAAGAGGGTTCCCTTTTGATTCGCGGAGAAGGGGATTCAGATTCATAGCAGAAACCATGTCTCCTTTTTTAACGTAAATATGCTGTTCCGAAAAAAAAACTTCGGAATCGATCCCTCCGACTAAAGCGAGTAATGGAGCTTTCTTCTTATTTTCTGGAAAATTCCATTCCATATTCGGAATCGGGTTTCGTTCACGCAAGTAAATTTCCGTCTCGTTCGGATTTTCCATAGTTGCCTTCATTATTGAAAAAGGCTCCTTTTCATTCGAAATACTGCATGATAAATGGGATTCATCATTATGTGTTCTCACTTCATAAATCCGCGAGTATTTGGGAAACTAAAGGAATCGGGTGGATTCCTCAAGGTGCCAATACAGAAAGATCTGAATGATCACGAAGGATATTTCGGCGAATATTCGAAACAGGCTTTTCTGACGCGAACAAAGAAAAGGGTCGTTCGCTTGAAAGTTGGACTTCCCATTCATGTCCCTTAAACGTAATATTTCGTGAAGAAGAAGGGGGAATTTCCGCAGAGAAGACGAAGTGGGCTTTCCGAAGAAATGCAGGAAAAGGGAAACCGAACATGCCCCAACCATCGGCCGACTTTTCGCAATGGTGAAAAGGAATAGGAAAAAAACAGACAAAAAAATTGCATCTACAGCATTATTTATCTCGGAGTGAGGTGAATGCATATTTTCGTCTCTTTCTGCTTTTTCAACTGGTAGAGATGAAGGAGCTGGGCCTTATCTGAGTACTTTACATAGGTACACTCACTACCGCCAAGAACATCCCAGGCAACATCCCCTCCAGATGCTGAAGTATCCAGGAGAGTAATCACATGCGAATGCAAGGGTGACTGTCCTCCTAAAGCAGGTTAGAGACACTTCACACGTAATTGAATATGGTAGACAATGTCTGTAAACGGAAGAAATATTGTCGCGTGGCAGATTGTGGAAAGGAGGATCCTCCCACGGACCTCCGGGCCGGAAGTTCCTGGTTTATTACAGAGCTAGGTTACATCTTTAGGGAAATGTTTGATGGAATTTGATAGTCTTCTCTTGAGATCTATGTGAGAACCATAGGGAACCGTGTCAAAGGGACAGGGGACTCTTCTTGGTAGTATCCGGGAAGTGACTCCCCATTACGACCACTTTTGCTCCATTTCACGCCGGTTTTCGGAACCTTCTCAGCCACATCGGACTATCTTGGCCCATTGGACAATGGACCAACTCCCCCAGCAATGGCCGGAAGATAAACCAACGAAAATTTTTGACTGGGTATTACTGACGCGGATGGAATCTATTTCGCCGATCATGTCGCTGGATATGGCAAATTGGTATATTCTACCCTTAAGTTTTCGGTATTATAATACCAGAAGGAATAGTGGCACTTTAGTCATACTTTCTCGTGACTGAGCATAACTGTAACGCAATAAGACAGTACATTTTATAGAGATAGGAAAGTTAAAAACGTGTCACATGGAAAAATGGTCCATATGAACTTAACATGAAAATTCCATTTGCTCCATTCTCATGTTTTCCTCTAATTTATGCTTAAATTTTTCTTTAACAGGATTTTTATTTCATTTTTTTCCGCAGAAACGGAGCACTCACCGCAAGTGAAGGATGTCCAAAGGTTGTTGAACCATCGCGGTTAAAAGTCTGTCCTATGCTGAACCTTGAAAACCAGCCACAAGATTACTTAAGTCTTTTTCCCTGATGATGAAGAGATCTGAAGCCCAAACGTCTGCCACAGCCCCCTCCCCCTTTCCTCCACTCCCAATAAGAGTCTCCAAGTTTAAAAAGTCTGTAGGTCTTGTTCAAGGCGAAATCAATAGGCGCGAGAACCCCTATTAGCTTGTTTCATCTCCTTCCTGCGACAAAATTCAACCGTCTCGTATCCCTCTCTGAGAGCATCAACAGGAACAAAATTTGGCATACTTTTTCCTCTCTCAACACAGAATGGCTCCAGCAATTTTGAAGCTCCATCCCCCCAGGGTTGTGGAGATCACTGAATTTCGGTTTTCAGGGATGTGAATTTCGTTCTGGTATTTTTTTTTCCTCCCACCTGAGCAACGGTTTCTGAGAAGTTTTCGGAGGAAAGAGACCAACCAAAGGAAAGATATTGACTAGTGGGAGACAAAATGTGCATTTTTTTTCTAGTGCCCCATTTCACCATTTACAAAAAGAAATTAGATGCCGTTAATTTAGGCTTAGCGCGATGGCTCCGTCCCGTCCTCCAGTGTTGCCGGATATCGTACCGGAAATGTACCAGATTCATGACGTCTTCGACCTTAGTATCAACGTATGGATTTTCTTTTCTTAATGTATGAGATAATTTTTTGTCGAGTTCATTAGATGAGCTGAGATTGAAATGGTGGCTAGCAGTGGCCGATCGATTTGGTGGGATGTGGAGATATCTCATTCGGACATCTGTGAACTAATAGAATGGCGCCCAAGTTGTATTCCTTGCTTCCCAGAGGCATTTTCTCCTCAAAACTCATCGCGACGGTTCGAGGAACTTTAGATAGGCCTAACGTTCCTTGTCCGCACCGAAATAGTTCATAGAACTCGAAACAGACCTCATTCTAACGTTAAACGTACTCTCTTCAAGGAGCCATGAGAGACTGAATAGGCCTGCGATTGGCCTAACGTTACACGTCCTCAACAAGATGTCTGGAAGACCAGGGATTAATCCTTTTAGGCCTAATTGGCCCAGTAAGTCCAGGATTGAGTTTCTTTTGTTGAACGAAGAAAAGGTAGGCCTAGGCCTGACCCGAAGACGGTCTGTTGGTTAGGCCCACGCCTAATGTTAGTGAGTTCCGTAGAGAAGGAAAGGAGGGGGGGGTGTGGCAGACGTTTGGGCTTCAGATCTCTTCATCATCAGGGAAAAAGACTTAAGTAATCTTGTGGCTGGTTTTCAAGGTTCAGCATAGGACAGACTTTTAACCGCGATGGTTCAACAACCTTTGGACATCCTTCACTTGCGGTGAGTGCTCCGTTTCTGCGGAAAAAAATGAAATAAAAATCCTGTTAAAGAAAAATTTAAGCATAAATTAGAGGAAAACATGAGAATGGAGCAAATGGAATTTTCATGTTAAGTTCATATGGACCATTTTTCCATGTGACACGTTTTTAACTTTCCTATCTCTATAAAATGTACTGTCTTATTGCGTTACAGTTATGCTCAGTCACGAGAAAGTATGACTAAAGTGCCACTATTCCTTCTGGTATTATAATACCGAAAACTTAAGGGTAGAATATACCAATTTGCCATATCCAGCGACATGATCGGCGAAATAGATTCCATCCGCGTCAGTAATACCCNCTTCTCGTGATATGGAAGCCCTCGCCAGAGCTTGATGTCACCGAAGTCTTCTGGCCCGTTTCTGCCGGTCCCGACTAAGTAAATGCCGTCGTTGGTATTGTTGAACTGCACAATGGAAGCATCAGGTTATTCGAAATCGCTTATGTTCCCATTTGGTTTGCATTTTACAGTGGTGCAAGACCCTATGTGAAATGCTAAGTAATTTCACACATGCTGGACTGACTGGAGTGTGATAGGTTTTGGTCATTGGAATCTTAGGCATGAACACGTTTTGACGATAATTTATGTAAAGATTGGAGAATCTATTCTGCTCATCTAGAATACTCAGCAATAGCACGCACGTCACCCAGTCAAAAAATTTTATTCTGGCCATCGATGGCTTTTCGTCGATGGGCATATACGCTGTTGTTGGGCCATTACTGGTATATGGTTGGCTCACGATTGATTTAAGTCGGGCATGTCTTGTTGGCCCTTCATTGGGCCAACTTCGGCTTATTGTTGGGAAACCGAACATGCCCCAACCATCGGCCGACTTTTCGCAATGGTGAAAAGGAATAGGAAAAAAACAGACAAAAAAATTGCATCTACAGCATTATTTATCTCGGAGTGAGGTGAATGCATATTTTCGTCTCTTTCTGCTTTTTCAACTGGTAGAGATGAAGGAGCTGGGCCTTATCTGAGTACTTTACATAGGTACACTCACTACCGCCAAGAACTCCTAACTAACTCCGCCAAGGAGAGAGCAGATTGAGGTTGAAGAAAGGGAAATTCTTTGAAAAATGGTTTTCACATAACTACATTACAACATTACTTGACTGTTAGGGTGGGTGTTACAAATTCCGGCCCCCTTAAGGGTAAGTTCTACCCTTAATTTCCAACCTGAAAATTGAAAAGCCCTCTCTTGCAAAAATACTTCCTCTCACCCCTATAAACAATATATCAATGAATCACGGACTTGAAGCACCTTCCATTGAGTGAGGTACTAAGTTCATTATCAAGTACTAGTCAGTACTTAATATCTGTATCTCAAAAACGGCAAAATCGATCGCAAAACCACGAAGTCAGCCCAAAGAGATTTTCATCAAGAGCCAATACACCAAGTGGCTCTTCCTATTTGAGCGCGTTTTCATGCAAATCGAGCAAAACTTTTCCGCCATAGAGTCCATTATTACGGTCTGGTTACATTCTCTAAAGCTAGGTGGTGAAAGTGACCCCAGCGATCGAGGAATAGGCGTTGTACTTGTAAATGAGGATCCGACCCCCTCTTGCTCCCTACTAACCGTCACTCAAGATGGTTGTGGCGAGAGCCTCCATGGATGAGAAGAGCAGATGGTGAGCATCCCCCCTCGAGGAATCCACGTCTAGAAAGGGGAGGAAGGGAAGGAGAAACACGAAGAAACCAGACAGTGAAGGTCTTTTCCTTCGTGGCGTGGAAATGACGACTTCATTCGAAAATGACTTCTGTATTAAATGACCTATCCATGTAAACGGCTGGGTATGTTCCGCGGCATATAAATTCTCTAGTGCGTCATGTACAGTTTCTTCGAGAATGTTCCTGCGATATGGTGTCAAAGACACACCTCGGCCTGCAACACAGTGGCAATGGGTTGCTATCTCTTGACCTCTGATTCGAATAGAGAAAAGTTATTTCGATGAGACGGGTATCGAGGAATCATTTGTCTGTGAGCTATACAGCTTTCCACGAGGAAAGGAGCTTCGTTTTTCTGGCCCGATCATGGCCCTCATTTCATCAAGAAAGTTTCCAAAGGTTTCTATAGTGAGATCACCATTCATCATCTTCGAATGTACTGAAATCCATGCGTGGGAGAAATCACAGCAATTAGAGTCATGTTTCCTCCTCGTTGAGTATCAACCTAGTCCAGTCACTTCGATGAGCAAATATGAGAAAGCTTAACTGCAAGCGTATTTCAGCGTGGAAGTTGACGCAGAAACCCTCGTATCGGGAACTGAATAATTGCTTGCTTTATTTTTGGTTCATAGGTTCATGTTGGCCGTTGTACAGAGGCGCCAAAATCTCTTTCCTGTAGATGGGTGAACTGATTATTGATAGACCCTGTTCGCATCCAAAAAAAATGTTCTAACGCTCGTGAAGAAATTTCACTTGGTCTCCCTCTCCATCCTATGAGCCATCTTTGAGGCAGTATTAATCATTTTCTTAGAGGATGTTCTTTTATAAATTTTATACCGAAAACTTGCTTTCACATCATCACAGACAAGTCAGAGAAGAAAGGTAATCCTGAATGAAGTCGTTCTTTCCATGGGAAAAAAGGAATAGCGAAAGAATTTGTCCTTTACTGTCTGGCTTTTCATTGCCTTCCCTCCATTGTCGGGATATGAATTCCTTTCGGGGGAATGTTCACCCTCGCCTCATCGCATCCATGAAGGAGGAGGTTCTCCCTTCCCAGCACAGTTCAGAATCAAGCTGGTTGAAAAACGCCATCCGTGAAAACGTACTAGGTAATGAGTGATGCGATGCATTTCTTCTATTCCTGTCACCTTAATGTAGTCGTAGAATTCTCGCCCCCCATGACTTCCCCTTGACCTAGAACTGACAATTCCCTCTTTCGCTTTCCTGTCACCTGGCGAAACTGCTAGACCTCATCCATGAAATGGTGGAGGTGCAGAAAGTATCCTTCCTGGAGAGGAGATTATGTCTGGAGGAAGAGGATGGTCGTATTCAGGGAAGAAACGAAGTCGAGGGAAGCTCGGAGTTAGGGTAATTGTTCAGAGGAAGAGGTGAAGGAAGGGTCCATGAGGGTGCTGCATTGTGGCCATGAGCGCATTAGGATTCTTCCAATGATGGCGTTCCCACACCCCCCCCCCCCCCCCCCCAAAAAAAAATAATAATAATAATAATAATTTTAAACTGTGGGNCCCCCCCCCCCCCCCCAAAAAAAAAAAAAAAAAAAAAACATTCCCCGGCATAGAGTGATCTCAGTTCCTTACAATTAAATTAATTAGGGAACAGGAGCCCCCATCACCATACTCAAGGAACGCTATCTCGAGGAAGGAGGGAGAGAAGATAAGTTTGGAAATGGGAAATGGAGACGAAGTTTATGACCATCGCGGGCCTGTCACTTCCCATGACAGGTCTGACATGGGGAGAACAGCCTGTCACTACACTCTCAGAGTATGTTATCTGCACTGTGGTGCGGCTTTCTTCGTGTTATTTTAAGTCATCTTTCAAATCTCATTTGTGTGCATCGAGGAGCATGTCTCAATAAAAGAAGGGGGCAAGAGAATTGGAGTGATATGCACCAAAGTAGCTAAATATATATTTTTTAATTCGGACAACGACATAATGTTTTGAAACGGTATGACCATGCCGATGTCTCGAGGCGATGAATGCACAACGCAGAAACTGAAGAGAGGTGTAAAATAAAGGGGGAAGTTCGTTCCCCTCGATCAGTTAAGAGACCCGATGGAGGTAGATGGATTTTTAAGAAATGCTTCCTGTCGGTGTGAGCCCTTAGGGGAAAGAGGGGCGGGGAGACATTGCAACTCCTTCGCCCTAGCTCAATTTCCGGGAACGGTAAGCTCAAAATCCGCCACCTTACCCACAGTTTAAAATTATTATTATTATTATTTTTTTTTTTAGGGGGGGGGGGATCAATTCCAATCGAAAGGAAAATGCACACACTTACCCATTCATGTTGAGACAAAACATTGGTGTAATTTAGTTTTAAAAGGCTGTTTGTACTTCTGGTTACGTTGGAATATGTAGCGTGGGGGCAGACTATATAGCAGAGACAGAAATTTTGTATCACCTCCTACTTGAGACTCTGCATCACCTTTTATGAGTTTGGAGCATCCGAAGATACTCCTTCAATGCCAAATGACCCCTTTAGTTTGGGATAGACGGCAGTGAAATAGATCGAACAAGTTACTGAATTTCCAAGCACCTTGGACATTGCATCCCTGGCAATTCAAGGCATCTAAGAGGAATAATCGCATATCCTTCCATTCAGTCATTGTTCCTAGTTATTGCCAGAAGAAAGGCAGTTCTGATTATTCTCTTCGACAAGCTGCATTTTGTTGAAGGAACACACGAAAGACGTGCTCACGTTTTCGGAACCAAATTCATTTGACCTGCTCCAAAATTAATGGCGAAAAAATAGTTTATCTCTTGTACTGAGCAATTTGATCCGATCTTTCAGTTAACTTTTTCAATATGTAAGGGACTCTCTGAATTCCATGCCGTGACGGAGGAGTCTAGGATTATTATTTGCTTATTGTGCTTACCTTCAGAGATGGAATATACCTGGACAAAAGAATGTTTGACAAATTTAAATTTTTATTTGAAGTTGGGCTCTATCGCGCGATGGTACATCTGTGTTCATTTACTTTTTAAAATGACCATGTACCACCCATGGTTCGCAATGTCGCGAGTGCGTTCATCTCATACAAAATACCGGAGCATGCTTCGGTTCAGAGATTGCTATCTCAATGCATTAACTTTTATTGTTAAAGAATTGAGATTTATAAGCGCGTGTGGCTTCTCCTATTCTATTAGCTACTCCAATTTGGTCAGCTGCATCGTGATTCCATCGATGGATTGCATTACCAAATGTGAAAATCTTTTCTCATCAAAACCCAAATAATATCCTCATACACTAACAATGTACGAAGTGGGCCAAAAAAAAAACAAAGCTATTATAATTGAAGAGTCGTCAATCTCTTCGTAAGCTGTCGATTTTAATTAAAATTGGTAGGCTTATAGGGGGGGGACACAATTGCAGTTTGTATACCAAATTTCAGCCAGCTGTATTCAAAATTATAGGAGTTTTAATTATTTTCTGTTGACCAATGACAAAATGTGCCGTCGAAAATATCGATATAACCCTGAGGCCGGGATGAAACGGAGGTCCGAATTCATTGACCTTCCATCCTTGCACGATGCAACTAAAGAAGATTGGGAGGCACTGCCTCAACAATTTATAGAACGAGCCATCGATCTGTGGTGTCCCAGACCACAGGCTTGCGTTCAACAGAATGAAGGGCACATTGAGCACCTTTTCAGTTGAAATGTACGTCCCTAAACCATATTGCGTGCTTTCGTGTTTGGCATTTGTCCATCTGTTTTTCTTCTGTTTGCTTGCTTGCTTGTTTCTGTTGTGATGATTTTAAAGCTAATAGGAAAACTGAACACTTACTCTTTTTGGGGATAAAATGTAAATTAAATGCCAATCTCACAATTTTTTGGAATTTTTATTTGAAGCTTGGCAAACAAATCCTAATTGCGTTACCCTATCTGTATAACAAATTTAATCAAAATCGGGTGCATACAATCAGATTGACAGCTTACCAAAAATGATAGCTTTGTTTTTTTTTGGCCCACCCTGTACAAAATATATATATGATATCAACATAAGAAAACTATTTTCCTGGCACTCACAGGGTAGTAACCGAAAATCCCGTTCGCCATTTCAGGTGGCAGCAGGTCAGAAATAGTTTCGTTGACGAATTCTTCGTTCATCGTCAAGTTATTCACCAAAAAGCTCCATATTTTATCAATGAAAGTCATCTCGTATCCTTTGATGAGGAGCTCTCCGACTGATTTTCTCAAAAGCGGTTTGCCATCGTCCGTCGTCTCCACTACTTCGATGATGAGTCCGATGGCGAAGCTGATGAGGGGGTGGTTCAATTCTTCTAATAGCCTCACCATAGACTGTTAAATATGAAATTGTTAAAAGGCATCAACTGCTATCTATAATGTTCTTGCAAGCCTCTCTTCCAATTGAATCTACCAAGTAGAGGTGAACTGATTACGGTGCACAACATTGTGATGAAAGTGGAATTTAAAAAATGAGCTCCTGTGCATGCATCCCGGGCTTGTAAAATCACTCTTTGATTTGGATTATTGCACGTTGAGAGAAATTCCCAAAAATTGACAGTTTCTTCACATGGACAAAGAACCCGAACTCTTACATTGGACGTCTTAGACGACAAGGCAATCAAATAGGTTTAAAATACGTTTTTCTCTCCCCATCTCAACTCTCCTATAGAGTTGAGATGGTACAAGTTGCTTGTACCACGTAAATAACTTGTAAGTAACTTGTATTCTCAGGAATCCCTTCTTCCAGAAATCTTGTAACTTTTTAATTCAAATCGGCTCTACATTCCCTAACCGGGACGTTCTCTATCAACACCTAAGAAATACCGAATAAGTTATGTTTTGCTACTAATGATAAAGAATCGGGCTGGGCGCTGAAATATCCCAGTCTACTCTTTTTGTCATACCAGAACGGGCGTATTCAAAGTGAAGATGAAGTCCGATTCTTGTCCCGTCGACATGTCCGCTTCGAAGAAGAACGTCTTGTTTTGGTAGTACTCCACGGTGCCGTTGTCGTAGTCATTCAACACTTCCTTCTTCAGTATTTCCCTGTTCAGAACAATGAATGAAGGCAGTTCGTGCGAATGAGTTTGCGTTCCTGAGTTCCCCAGAGATTATCTTCTTTCCTAACCTGTAGGTGTACGGTCCAAGTTGCTTCAGTTTCGGTACTTGTTCCCCTGAGAGAAACTCGTCTGGATTGGTGATGTTGTACACGTAAAACTGCGAATAGATCGGGACGGGGGGCGACTTCCAGTTCTCGTATATTTCTTTTCCTTTCTCCAGCAAAATTTCCTAGGTAGGAGAACAAACAGAAAAGAACAAGGAATTTAGGTGAATCTGGAAAACCATGATTTTTCTGGAAAAGACTGAGAGTGGATTTTTGAACAGAGAACTATCCGATACTGTAGCTTCATTCCAGGGAAAATACACGAAAGGAATGTCATGGATACAGTATTTCTAGGAAATTTCATGTATTTTTCCTGGAATAAAGCTCCATTATCGGATTCTGTTCAAAAATCCACCCATAGTTTTTCTCCTTCTTCAGCGAGCACTCAGTCGTATATTTTCGCCTGTCAGCCTGACATCATGTAATAAGACGAGATAATGGGATATCACTCCTCTTATGATATCCAATACAATCCTTCAGATATGATCATCGAATAAAAAAATAAGTGAAATCAGTCGATTGTCATCTCGATACCAATTTTTCCTAAGGTTCCATCTGAGCGTTTAGAAAATGGAAAGCACTCATCCTGAAGCTTCCGTTGTCCACATTTATTCGTAATTGTGTCCTTTAAGACGTGAAGCACATGGCTTTCCTATGGACGAAGAGGAAAGATGAACAGAAGCTTATGTGGAAACAGATTTGCCCAGTGTCTCTGATGTTAATTTCTCTTTTCGAACTGCCTGAGGTATCAACGTCATTATCGGTCGACTAAGTAAGCAATTTTTATTTCTCTTTACGTGTCTTAATTATCCGGTAATGAACTTGCAAGAAAATGGACTTGAATTGTGAGAGGAGAGATGGCAACTCGGCAACACACCGTGTCACATTTCACAAGTTGCAAGCGACTGGTTGCCTAAAAATGGCATTCGCACTGTTCCATCTCCACAGCCATGACCTCGTTCCGAACGACTTCTAGCTCTACCTAAATCCTAAATCTGACCCCAGACGATTCCATTTTCAGGACAAAACCCAGTCTTGAAGACTGTTGGAGCGCAATTGAAAGTTTTCGAAGAATGGGCTGGATCATGTCTCTGCAAAGTGGGTGGAGAGATTGAATTAATCATTTTAATCCAGAAAATACTTAGAGAAGGAATGAAAGATGTTTATGAATCCAAAAATCTGCACTCGAATCATAGGCGCCGACTTCTAAAAAATATTGGGAGTTCAAGTTCCTAATGCCCCTGAAATAACATTGACGGCAATATTACAGGATCCATTGGGGTAATTCAGTGTTATGGTAACAGAATGACGAGAAGGAAGGGGGGGGGGGGGGGGTCTGGGCATGGCCCTTCAACCCCATACCCTTATGGGGTGACACGGTGGGTGCCCCAGTTGGAGCTCTAAGCAAAAAGGTAAATCATATTTTTCATTTCTTTCGTGAAGCAGCATTTTGTTTTCAATTTTCCATGTTCCCTACTTTTGTTGAAATTTGGCCATTCTTGGGAGGCGTGCCCATCTCAATATAGTTGGGGGGGGGCACGTGCCCCTTTGCCCCCCCCTGGGTTCGGGGCCTATGTCTCAAATAATGACCATCGCCTCATTATTTTTTAACAGTAAAAAACAGCGATAAAGTGACCAACATTTTACGTAACCCTCATGTCATTTCCATGGCAATTACAAAAAATGTACATAGCCTGTAAAAAATTGATATCTTGTTTACGTGAACTTGCTGCTTGGGTAACCATCTCTCAAATGAGTAGAGTCCCAATACTTCATAACGTCTCTCATTTGGATGTTGTAGTTTAGTAGTTTAGTCAAATACTCTCTTCGGCAGCTGAGATCGTGAGGATAAATGATGAGGAATCTCTTCGATATCTAAATCAAAATTTCGTCGTTTCTTCATGTGCAAATGCAGTCTTGGACTCGCTCATAGCAAAGCACAAGGTATTGCTTTAAAAAAATCCATAGTATGTTCCTCCTTTCACTGGCATACTCCTTCTCATTATTGTTCCTCAACGTTATTCCACATAGTCTAAATGTATAAAACAGGGCTTCCCAACCCATGGGTCGCAACATCATTTGAGATCGCCGAAATCATATTTGTGGTCGCGGACCGGAAACTAAATACCATGTAATATCTTTATTTGCGATTTTAGTGCAGAGGTGGTGCA